CTCCCAGAATTCCCCAGCCAGCATGCTGGCTGGGGAATTCTGGGAGTTGAAGTCCACAGGTAACCTGGTCTAGGGGTATCACATAACCTAATCTGGATTTGAGACTTCTGAGTCCAGTTCCACTAAGGCCAAGGACATCTGCAGTGGCCCAGTAGAACGACATCCTCGTAGTAACATTTGGCCTTCTGCTTTTTCTCCTCTACAACTTGCACTGTCTTTCCCAACAAGAGAAATACGATTTAGCATGAAATAAGTTAACGGGCTTTCATTCCTGACTACTCACTCTCTAGCCCTGAATTCTGCCTTTGGATTAGAAAGCGGAGTTTATGCTCCGTCTTCCTTTTTTTCTGGAGGAAACGGTAGTTGGGTTCTCGCAGCCGTGGTGGATCCCCTGCAGCCTCCATGGGTTAATTTTGCACTGTGGCTTCTGTCGCTTTGCCCTCCTGGGCCAGCCCCTACCTGAACGGCTGGGATTTTCATAAAACAACAGCTTGCTTTAAAGAAACGGGAACAAGCGCTTTTCCTGCCAAGAATGGAAGAGATCAAGGGCTGTTCTTTTTTATAGGTGCCATTCCAGTCAGCTGAGTAACTTGGCAATCCACCAAGTGGGCCGGCAACCACAGAAGCCCATCGGTGTTTCTGCCCCCCCCCTTGTTCCTTTTCATGTCCCTCAAGAAGGCGCCACCTGAGAATACCCACAAATCCAAATCAAGTCTGCTAGTCCTTTGAGGCAGACCTGAACAGGTTCGAAAGGTACTCTGCCTGCCAGGAATAGCAAAAGTTAGGGTAGTCAGCTTTGCCAGCATCTAGTACCTTCTGTGTGCGCGCACACACACGCGCGCACATGCCTTTGAGTCAGTTTTTGACTTCTGGCGACTGCCTGGACAAGTCCCTGCAGTTTTCTTGGCAAGGTTTCAGAAGTGGTTTGCCCTGGCCTCCTCCTTCCTAGGGCTGAAAGAGAGGGACTGGCCCAAGGTCATCCAGCTGGCTTCGTGCCCAAAGCAGGACTAGAACTCATTATTTCATTATTCTTCCATCAGGAGTTTAATGTATTGCATTTTAATTGTATGTCTTGATTGGCCAATGGCTGTAATAAAATTTGTTGTTTTCAATAACTAGTACAGACTGGTGAGCATCGTGATGTAGCAGTGGCTCTTAGCTTATGTGTTGATATCTCCTTGTATCCCATGGGTTTTTTCCCCACAGGGTCACAGTAGATCCACCCTGAGTCCCTGGGTAGTTTGGGGTCAGTCATTCTCACTCAGCTCAACAGACATCACAGGATTGTTGTGCAGAAAAATGGGAGGGTTGTGGGATATAGTCCTAACAAATAATGTTGAAAAATCATTGCATGTCTTCTAAATGGTATACTTGAGGTGAATCTGTATCAGGATTCTTTTTCTTCTGCTGCTTTTTGCAGGTTTTGGAGCAATGCACGATGGCCAGAGAGACCCCCATTAGACAAGTGTTGGAAATGACATGATGGAATTAGAAAGAGAGATGGCTCTGGGTGGCTCGCAACAATCAAACAAATTAAGGTAAAACATAAGATAAAGATAAAAGATGGCAAGCGTGATGAAGCAAGGGGTCTCACTCACCCTTGTCGAAGGCCTTGATGAAGAGCTAGGTCTTCACGGCTCTTCTAAACAACAGCACAGTGGGGGCCATCTGGATATCCCAGGGAATCTCATTTCAGAGGGCAGATACTGCTACAAAGAAGGCATGCTTCTGGGGTCCTGAGAAGGACAATGTTTAACTGAAGAAACACGGAGTGTGCCAACCCTGCAAGATCAAATCAGCTGGGCAGATGTTATGGGAAACAGGCGGTCCTTCAAGTACAGGCATCCCAGAGAGATGTTATCTGACCTTCACTAGCATATATCCACTAAAGGTTCTGAATTGGTACCAATCACTTCTAGGGAACGTTTTCTAATACTCAACTGGAATCTGCCTTCTTCTGACTTAAATTCATTATTTTGCATTCTCCACTTTGAAATGACAGAGAACAAGTCTTGACCTTCTCTGTGACCCTCTCAAGACTAAACAAATCCAGCTTCTTTAATATTCTAGATTAGAATCCTGTAATTCATAGGATTTAGGTTCTACTCCCCTGATCATCCTCAAGATCCTTCTCTGAGCTTGTTCTATTTTCTCTGAATCCGTCTTAATGTACAATGCCGCAAACTGAACCCAGCACTCGAGGTGGGATCTGACCAAAACAGAAAAAGTGGAATGGTGGTGATTTGGAAATTACAAATTGATGCAGCTTCAAATCACATTTGTCTTTTTGCAGACCCATCACATTTGTGGCTCATATTCAGTTACTTTTACCTAATGTGTTGATCATCTTTAAATTTCCAAATAACAGAATCTATCCAAGTTAGTATTGGAAACAGAATACAGGACTGTATGATATTTAATTTGGTAGAGAATTTGATGGAAGCTACAAAGACAAATAATCTTGTCTATCCCTTCAGTTGGTGGCTTTTCTCTTTTTCTTCATTTTCTAGGGTCCAATTCCCTTCTTATTGAAATTCAACTTGGAGACTTCCCAGCTAAAGATATTAGAGGAATCAAGGGTAAGTAAACACTTGTTTGTCATCAGAATTACAGTGTTTGGGCAATTGTTTAGATTAATTGGTTCAGTTTATTCAAAGCTATTGACTAAATCATGTGGACCACCTAACTGGGCCACAAATTTATCTTGAAGTATTACTATTTAATTAATGCAACTGATGACATAGTGTGAGGCCCAGCCCAAGAACAGTGGTGAAACAGTCCAGTTGAGTTAAGTTCCTTTATTAGCTTACACCTATAGACAGAATCTAAAACTGTACTACTGCAACAAATGGATGTACCCTGGGAGATCCTAGAAGTGGCTATCCTGAACTTCTTTTGCTTCCCACACTCCTCCTGTGGACTGTGTTGTCTTGTCTCTTTTCCTCTCCTGGAATGCACCCCCTCCTTCCTGATAGCCTTGATCTCTGCTTCTATCCTCCACATCACCCTCCTCTTCGTAGATACCTTCCATTACACATAGGCTGGGATGGGCAAATTAAGGAAATATCCATGCACGTTCGTCTTGATAAATGCATCACAAAAATCTATTCTTTTTCTACAAAAGGTTAACAAGTCATTTCTTTCTGAGCCAATATAGTGGTTGGAACAGGGGTGGGCAGCCTATTACCCCTGGTATCTTTTGTACTAAAGTTTCTATAATTCTTGCCTACTGACTCGGGCTGATGAGAACCATACTTTAAAATAGTTGAAGGACATCAGGTTTCATCCCCCTTTGTAAGATGGTGAGACTGCAATGAGAAGGATGTTGATCAGAGCCCTTTGGAGCTTTAGTTTCTTGAGGTCTGATCCCTCAGCCTGATCAACCATATGGGGTTGTGAGGAGAAAATAGAGAACAGAACAAATGTCTTCAACTGCTTAGTGAAAAAGTAGCCGACAAACGTAACAACTGTTATTAGAATAAATGGGGAGCACGCCCCTTTCCCAGATCTCTCCTTCACAAGAGGAATTTCTTCTGTAGCAATTTGAGTTGTGTAGTCTTACAATCTAAAATCAAGGAAAAGAGTTTTGTTTTTTCACATCAGAATTATTGTTTAATTCCTATCTAAACTGGTCAGTTTGTCTGGAGCAGACAAATCAGTTAAAGGAATTAATTAGCTGGCGTTGCTTGAAACTACAGCAAAATTGACCAAGGGAATTATTTTTTAAATTTTCCCTTTTGCAAATTTGCTATTGAAATTCTAAAATTTCAACGGCAAACTATGGAAGAACAGTTAAACAGCTTTTTGCAGCCTGGTTGGATGGCATTTGCAGCTTTGTCCTTCCCAGGGCTTTGCTATCCTCATATCCTGAGAGAACAGACCAGGAGTTCCTTGGCCCTGGATTTCTACACGTCTTATTTCCATACATTCACTAATTCCTTCCAGTGGTCACAGCTGACATCATTGCAGTAGTAGTAATGGTACAAAACGTGATGTATGAGAACTACTCATCACTATTAAGTGGAAAAGAATCTCAGTATGAGTAGCGGAAAACCCAACCTTCTCCTTTCACATCTCCCCAAACCTGTGTTTGCTTGAAGGGAACCTTGTAAGCCCTGATACCACCGTTTGGTGCTTCCCCTGTAGAAGTGTCAGTATTCAAATACACATCTTGGACTTGTTACCCTTTTGCAAATTTGTAGCAGCCAAAGAAAGGGGGTTTCCAGCCAAATTGTTTGTTCTTAGTAAGCTAACCTTTAAATATATATCTTGTGGGTTAAAACTGTGAACTATAAGTAGTCATTCAAACACTGGGAGAAAAGCTTTTTTCTTTTTCTTTTCTTTTTTAAGGCAAAACTAACATGCCAGGTTTGTTTCTGAGAAGTGAAGCAAACTTCCCCCAAGTCTTTATGTATTTTAATCTGCTCAGGTAATCAGTCTTCAACTTAAATCTTTTTTCAGCATGGCTGAATTCTTTCATTCAACCCAATTCTCCCCTCGGTTGAGTTTTGAAGGATTATAAAAGTTCTGGGCAATATTGCATCTCCTGGTCTTCAAAAGAGCTTTGTGGTCTGCGGTTTCAGCAGTTGGACAGAAAGATTGAATCAAAGGGTGCAGGGTAAATTAGGGTATACTCATTGTATGATCTGTGCTGCCTGTTAAATGCGTATTCAGAAGTCCCTCTCATGGTCTACCATGGAAGTTGCTTCCAGTAATCTTTAGGAGGGCAGCCTAGAAACCTCACAAAAGCTGCCTGAAACCAAGTCAAGTCATTAGATCTGCTAACGTGGTTGTCACCAGCCTTTGCCTCAACCCAGAACTCAGTAGAAAGTTCCTGTGGTTCTGAGCACTGAGCATATTAGCTATTGTTGCTCCCCCATCCCCAAACCAAAAACACCCTAAACTAGTGTGCTGCCATTTCCTTCTGGCTGATGAGTCTAAGCTCACTGGCTGGATTCATCTCTTACCTTCAGCTTGATGTTCCTACCACAGTGTCAGTCTAAAGCAGTGTTTCTCAATCTTGGCTACTTTAAGATGTGTGGACTCAGCTAGCTGAGGAATTCTGGGAGTTGAAGTCCACACACCTTAATCCCTAGACCCTGGTTATTTAAGGGACCACCTTCAGGCAGAGTGGGTGTGATTCAGATCCCATTGACCAGAGTCACCTGTTGGGGGAGATGGGTGGCATACAAGTCTGAAAATAAAATAAAAAAATAAAAATAAAAAATAAATAAAATAAAGATGTCATCTAGCAGGACCAAGGAAGTGTGTCTTTTCTGTTATAGTGCCTGTCCTCTGGAATGATATCCTCCCCCCTGCCCAGCCTCCAGAGATCCAGTTGGCTCCCACCCTGAGGACATTCAGAACTATTAAAGGCCTGACTCTTCTCCCAGGCCTTGGGGCAGGGTGATATTTGAGCCCATCAGATGGGTTTTTTATTTATGTTTATTTTCCAGCAACATGATCTTTTTTCCCCTCTCTCTTTTTCTGAACTTTTTTTTAAAACTCTAAGCTGCCCAGAATCTCTAGGAGGCGGGCAACTTCTAAACTGTATGCATATAAATAAATAAATTCTGGTAAAGTAAGATGGTGAGACTTGAACAAAACAATGGTAAGTTTTGCTACACTCTAATTTTAAGGCCTTTCAGCATGTATTGTCTGGATTTCCAGAGGAACAAATGTGTTATGCTGGACTGCATCCAAATCAAGAATTAATAATTAATTAGAGCCAACCTAGTGCCCTCCAGGTATTTGGGAACACAGCCCCATAGTTCTGTCTCTTATCCTCAGGTGAAGGAAATGCAGTATCCCATGTAACTGATGAAATTAACTCAGTTATGTGAAAATTGACAGGATTAGAAACTGGTTCCTTCCAGATGTTTTAGGCGACAGTTCTTCTAAGCTCCAGCCAACAATATCCAGTGATTAGAAGTTGCCGTATATCTGAAGTATATCTGGTTACTTTATCACAAGAGGACTTTATCTCTTGTCACTAATATTTGCTTCAGTTCTTCTGATTCCTTTTCCTGGAAAAAAAAAAATTGTCTCTGCATGGAAAATTGAGCCTTACAGATTCTGAAGTAAAGGCAGCCTCAGAGCATTGTGTTCCTCTGTGATGTCCTTATCCTCCTTTAATCCTCCTTTTACTTTCTTACAGAACCCAAGTTAATAAATCCACACCTTTTGATATTTTTATTCAGCAATTTCACACTAGAGCCGCTCTTTGCAAATCCCTTGTATAGGACATCCACTTAACATCAGTTGTCGATTGATCAATTGGATTTAAAGTGTTTTTACTCTGCTTCAGCCATAAAATCCTTTAAAGTAATCAATAAAAAATGGCAGCCTGTGTCCATAGGTTTACAACCTAAGGAGAAAGGGAAGTGGGCCTTAGGAAGAAAGAAGCAGAATTCTTGCACCAGTAAGTTAAATAATACATAATTTTCAGCAATTCACAGAAAGCGGGGAAAGACAGAGATACCGTGTTGGAGCTGAATGGCTTCATAAAACAGACCATTCCACTGCTGGTTTCTGAATATTGCCAATCAAATATTAACCATTTGTTCTTTCCTGTGAAGCCTGTCATTTATTCTGTGTGGGATGCAAAAAGACATTTCTGGTGGATGATGAAATATGTAGCATTAGAAAATGAATGGGTCAAAGAATCAATGATATAGTGGCTGATTAGATATAGAGACAGAATTAGAATTCGAGTTAGCCGCAAGAACTTGGTAACCTCCCATTCCATTTTCTTTCAAATAGGGAATCAGCAGTAATATAACTTAATCTTTGTTTCTCTTTTTGTTCTTTTCTCTTTTTTAACAGGCAGACTTTACCAGTGCAGTAAAGATCGGCATTTTGCAGGCCAGATCCAAACCAGTAATCCACATTTTATGGACTATCAACCTGGGAAGAGTTGTGAAATTCAAGGTGCCAAGGATGACTGTTGAATTTCAGAGCACAGAGCAGTTTGTGAGCACATTAATTGTAACAATTACTACAATAAAGCACATGAAGAATCTTGAACATTCTGATGCTTTGTGTACAAGCATTGCATATTGGCTAACTATTTATTTGTCAAACAGGAACTAGGTTCATAGTACCAGATGACTATCTGGTGACAGCTAATGAATAAGATGGCAGGGCTGGATGTGGTGGGAAATGTGCCCATAGATATCTCTCCTGGTGCCCAGTGCGTTCTCTGCTCCATGTAACCATGATTGTTTAGAGTTCCCTATGATATGAGTCCATGGGCCCCATATGTATTCTAAGAAGATCAACTGTATGGATAATAGCAGACCAGGACTTTGAAAATACCTTGAAAGGGTGTCCCCTTGCTGAGAAAACAATGCTAACAAAACATGGTCCTTCCAGAAAGCAGTCAAGACCTGGCTCTGCCAACTGGCATGGGGCAAAAAAAGGGGCAACCAACCCTGGGGGTGGCCAGCACCTTGAAGAAGCAGTCAAGACCTGGCTCTGCCAACTGGCATGGGGCAAAAAAAGGGGCAACCAACCCTGGGGGTGGCCAGCACCTTGAAGATGCTCCCATATGTTAACATCTTCATGATCATCAACATCTTGGAAGATAT